CTAACCTTTGTGTGTTTGTTTTTTTATATATTTTTTTATTAAATTATTTTTAATAAAATTATTTAAATTATTTTTAAATAACTATCCAATCATGCCATTATTTTTAAATAATGTTAGCATTATCTATGGTAATATTAGTGATTATTGTTTTGAATAGGTATGTATGTATCTAATATAAATAATTTTCTAAATGTGAATGAAATATCTATTTTTAAATATTAATTTTATTAAAAAAAATTTACTAATACATCTCCATCAAAAATAATAATTCATTGTTTTTAATTTATTTATTAAAACTTGCTTTTAAGAATATAATAAATTTTTGTCTAGAAAAAAAGACTTGTTAAGGAAAAAAAAGGCATAAGTAAGGAAACATGTTTTGATTAAGTTAATATCTTATATTTATTTCAAATTGTTAGTATTGATATTGATTTTAATTAATTACAATTTCTAAGTAATTAAAAAAAAGCTAAAGAAAAATATATGAATTTTTTAAAAAAAATACATTAGTTAAAAAATATATAATTTATAATAGTAATTAAATCTTTTCTAAAAAATTTAAATTATGACATTTATAATGAAAATCTATTTTTATTATTATATAATCAAATAAAACAATTTCAAAGAATACCCTGCATAAAAATTAATTAATTATATATATATCTTTAAAATTTTTATTTTAATACTCAACTAATATTAATAAATTTTTCATATTTTATTAACTCATTTACTTTTCTCTGTATTTACACTAAATACGGGTAAATTTTCAATTCTTAATTTAAATTTTCGTAAGAAACCAATGATATGAACATCGAAGGAGAGATGGGCCGAAGAAGGCCCAAAAGTCTTCCTCTGAAAGAAAATGTTTTTTGTGAGGAAGGATAAGGTGAGGCGGGTTATTGTTTCAAGGGTGAGACAGAGAGAGATTCTGAGAAGATAGAAAGGAGAAGAATGGGGAGCAGGGTTATTGTTTCAAGGGGGAGACAGAGAGAGATTCTGAGAAGATAGAAAGGAGAAGAATGGGGAGCAGCGGTACTTGTTCTCTTTGGAGTGGGTTCTTAGGAAGTGGGGGGCAGCAGCTCCGGGCATCGGTGGCAGCAGCCAAGCAGAGGGCAAGCCCAAGTCTAAGCTTTGTAACAGTTGAAGCCAAAGCCAAAACTAGACGCGAAGACAGGACTGCTCGCCATATTCGTATCAGAAAGAAGGTCTCTCTCTCTTTGCACTTCTTTATGTGATGTGATGACTTTTAGATAATCCCACCTCAGATGGGGTCTTAAAATTCCTTTAACTTGTATATAAAAAGCTAAATCCCTTTTTTTCCCACATTTTTTCATAATTAATTAATGCTTTGGATTGTTGTCTTGGCTGGTCTTGAGTTGGCTGTGGAATCTTGGTCTCAGGTGGAAGGGACTCCAGATAGGCCTAGATTGTGTGTCTTCCGTTCCAACAAGCATCTCTACGTCCAAGTGATTGATGATACAAAGATGCACACGCTCGCTTCCGCTTCAACCATGCAGAAGCCCTTCGCTCAGGACTTTGATTACTCTTCTGGTCCAACCATTGTAAGCTTACAAACGCTACAGTCTTTCTTTGATGTTTTCTTTTCCTTTCCAATGTCTATTACAGCTACATAGTTTTAGCTATGCCAACTTCTTCATTCTTATTCTGTGATCGTCTTTTTAAAAATCTACAAATTGTTGCTTCTTCTTAACCAAGATTTAAAGATAGAGTTTGGAGTAAAACTGTGATGTGAACCAAACACTTTCAAATTTGTGGTTGGGGCAAAACGCAGACGCAAACAAACGGAGCCTTAATACTTGTGCGTTTTGATGCATTGCTGACTGAATTATGATCCCCGTACCTACAACCCTCCCTGAATCACTTCATTTCTGTGCTGCTGCCGTTTTGCCAAACTATTTCTCATTGATTGCAAGCTAATCTTTTGTTTCTACTACCTTTTCCTTTCTCACCAGGAAGTAGCTAAGAAGGTAGGTGAAGTCATTGCAAAATCTTGTTTAGAGAAGGGTATAACTAAGGTGGCTTTTGACAGAGGTGGGTACCCTTATCATGGGCGTGTAGCAGCCCTTGCAGATGCAGCTCGGGAAAATGGCCTGCAATTCTAGAAATGTGATTGGTCAGTCACTTTTGAGCATTCTTTTTTCCTTTTCTTTTTGTACTTTGTGATGGAATCATGCATGAATTTGTGGGTGAAACTCTGTAATTTTGTTAATTACTGGAAGTGGAAAAGCTCTTTAGTTCTCTTGGTCAATTCATATCATTTATATTTGAAAAAAGGAAATCAAATTCAACTGTGTCCTCATATTTTGATGGATGGAATTCACATTGAACTTGACAACTATTCTTTCCTCTCCTACCAGTGGGTTGGGAGCTGAAATGCATAAGCCCATAATCGATTGGGGTAGCAACTCAGTACAACGTAAAGTTGATTGCTAGGAGAGTGATAGGAGCATTTATGCTGGAAAAGAAAAGAAGGAGCAAACGATTCTATGGAAGCTCTGTGAGGAAATCCAGTATCCCAGTCAGTCATTAGCTATACCGGTATTAAGTAAGGGAAGAACAGTGCCACTTGAAATCGTGTCTTTAATTATGATTACTTCTGTTGTCTTTGAATACTTGATAAGAAGAGGTTATAAGCAAGTTGTTTTTTTTCTTGGAACAACCTTTCTCATGCCAAGTATTTAGATATATCACATCCCTAGATTCAAATGTAGATAGAAGGCTTCATGTTGAGCATGCATATTGAAGCAAAAAGCCTATCTTTAGCATATTTACATAGCAGTGAAGACCTTTGAGTTTAAGTGGTTATTTCTATGGTACCGAAGCTCTGTTTGATCTAGCATCTGAGAGGTCCAAGTAGTGGGACTAACACTCTCATTTATTTGCAAATTAATTTCAACATAATCGATAGGTATTATATCTGCCCACATGGTTAAATATTGCACATCTCAGTTCGGCCAATCATACATGAATTCCCAAAATCCAGTTTGTCCATTCATCCCATACATACCTTCTTTTGATATTAGCCACGAGCATTGAGTCTCGCATCTTGTGTGATCCCTTGAAAACGAGTATGCATCAAAATGGGATCTCCTAGCATTTTCCCATTCCATATCACAATAAAGTAGAGTAGTTCCCCATGCATTGACTGAGAAGTCCCAACCAAATTCACTTCCATCGGCTATGTCCTGCTGGCCAAGATCATCATCTTTCGACTGACAATGTATGCTCAAGTTTTCCCCATTGCCTAATCTGTTCTTGATGCTTGCATGCACGTCATCTGAAAGAACCATCCTGGAGAAGCTGAATACCAGGAGCAACACCACATGACAACCCACCTGATATGGGGCAGGCATATTGTTGTAGTTGATTTGAACAAATTCTGATCTGGTGCTAGTTTTTTTTTTTTTTTTTTGACGGATAAAAGCTACAACGATAGCTTTATTTATGTGAGCTTGTTCAGCATCATGCGATAATTTTAGTAAAATATTGTCAGCCACAATGAAATGAGATCCGATCCTGTTTACAAAATCAAGGATTGGCGATGCTTTCTAGTACGGTTCCTTGTTCTGTTTCAGGAAGTAACGTCGTCCTTCGTTTTAACTGCCGAACGACAAGGTTCTGGCATTGGGATTGCTGGACTCATAACCCACGTATTGATCTGATCTTGCTACACTGAACAATTTTACTCACAAGTCTTCTAATCAATGACTTTTGTTCCTAATCACGATCACCATAATATCCAACCATTGTTGTACTAATCAGTTCGTTGTTGACTTGGATCTTGCATCGGAGATGTTTCGGATTGATTCATGGAAGTCAGGTTTTATAATTATGCTCATAATTCAAAATAATGCTGTTAATTCTAGATTTTTTTTATATATATAATTCTGATATCTTATTGTCAAAACTATAAAAAACATGTTTTTTTTTTTTTTCAACTCAAAAACTGTTTAAATGACACCTAAAACATGAAATTGAACGGATTCAAAATTTCTAAAACATGTTGTGTTTTTTTTCCCCGGCATTTTATCAGTTTAATGCCTTTCTAAACGAACAGACAACACATCTACTTCCATTGAAAGAAAGCTCTGATATACAAAAGATGATTAACAAGCACAAAAGATCATGCTTTCTTTTTCAGTCCACTTCAATCCGATTACTATCATTTGTATGATGATTCTTTTGTTATTTTTCTCAAATTATTTTAGTATTTATTATCAACTCATTCATTATTTCTATTGCAGCTCATTAGATATTTATTTGCTAGAAATTGAGAAGTGCGTGCAGATCACAAAAGATTCACCAGAACTGGAACCTGCTTCCTTAAATGAAGCCAGCAGATCAAGCTGACATGTATACATATAGATACAATAATAGTCTTAGTGTATATTTGGTATTTTGATATGCTTTTCTGATCGTGACTTGAATAAATAAATTTAAAAAATATATAAATTTATAACCAAAGTTTTAAGAGAGTTTTCATTGAAATACATACAAATCTATAAAAACTATAATATATGTTGATTTACCAAATATTTTTCAAAACTGTGATCGAAGAAAAAAAATAAAATTTCAAGCACATCCAATTAAGAACTAATTTTGGGAGGTGTTTGAAAATATAATAGTAGTTATTTTAAAGTTTTTTTAATTGGAAATATATTAAAATAATATTTTTTTGAAAAAAAATTATTTTTAACATTAACATATTAAAATAATCTGGAAACACTAAAAAAAATTAATTAAAAATAAAAAATAAATTTTATATTTTTAAAATACTTTTAAAATACAAAAATAAATTATAAACCCTAACTAGCTATCACTGAGCATTTAACAAGTAGAAGCCCTCCTCCCACTTTCATAGCGATCCTATGTATTCTCCAGGGTCTAACTCGATATGCCCAAATAGACATTCCAAATTTTAACTGCCTTGGGCTGTCCCCCTTGAGGAATATTATTGTTATTGTTAACAGTTCAATTTTAGCTGCCTTGGGCTGTCCCCCTTGAGGAATAGTATTGTTATTGTTAACAGTTCATAAATAGCTTGCCTAATTAAGATGTAATCGCTATTAATAAGGATCGACAAGGAGGAAGGTTGCCTTCTGCACAAAATGCGCACGCAGCTCATGCATTCTTCCCCACAGCTGGCTAGCCCTCAATTTAAATGTATTAGCAATGATACGCGTGCTCTATGAATAGTTTTACGTTGGATTTTTTTTTTTTTCCCTGAAAAAAGATTCGAATTAAGCTTGTTGAGAAACCCAGTTTTTCCTCCTCTCTGGTAATTAACCTGTAGGGTTCTGTTGCTCATGTTATATTTATATATATGTAAAAAAATAGTGTTTATCTAGGGTTCGTGTGAGAATATGGCCGCCAACACAAGTAATGTAACAGCTGCATTGCCAAAGCCTATGAAGGCAACGTCAAATGGAGCGTTTCAGCATGAGAATCCATTAGATTATGCGCTCCCTTTGTTGATCCTTCAGATATGTTTGGTCGTCGCTTTTACAAGGACCCTTGCATTCCTTCTCAAACCCCTCAGGCAACCCAGAGTCATTGCTGAGATCATTGTAAGTTTCTGCTCTTGAATACCATCATCATTGTGCATGTGATCTTATCTTTTATATATCAATGACTTTGTTCTTCGATAAAAGGAGTTGAGAAATTTCTGCAGGGAGGAATACTGCTTGGACCATCTGCATTGGGAAGAAGCGAGAGATTTCTTCACACGGTGTTCCCACCCAAGAGCATGACTGTCCTGGACACGGTCGCCAACATCGGTCTCCTTTTCTTCTTGTTTTTGGTGGGTTTAGAGCTTGACATTCGATCCATTCGTCGCACTGGAAAGAAGTCCTTGGCAATAGCCGGCGCTGGCATCACCCTTCCTTTCCTTTTAGGAATCGGCACCTCATTTGTTCTTCGTTCCACCATATCCAAAGGAAGCGCTCACGCCCCTTTCCTTGTCTTCATGGGCGTCTCTCTCTCCATCACCGCTTTCCCAGTCCTGGCCCGTATTTTGGCGGAACTCAAGCTTCTAACCACCGATGTGGGCCGCATAGCAATGTCTGCAGCAGCAGTCAATGATGTTGTTGCCTGGATTCTCCTTGCACTTGCTATTGCTCTCTCAGGCAGCAACACTTCTCCGCTTATCTCCTTATGGGTCCTCCTTTGTGGCGTGGGGTTTGTTGTGTTCTCCGTTTATGTCATAAGACCATTACTGGAGCTTATGGCCCGGCGCAGCCCTGACGGCGAGCCGGTGAAAGAGATCTACATTTGCATCACGTTGTCACTTGTGTTGGCTTCCTCTTTCGTCACCGACTCCATCGGCATACATGCCCTTTTTGGAGCTTTTGTGGTGGGAATTTTAGTACCCAAGGACAGTCCTTTTCCCGGGGTTCTTATAGAGAAGATAGAGGATCTTGTGGCGGGGCTCTTTCTGCCACTCTATTTCGCATCCAGCGGGCTCAAGACCAACGTTGCAACCATAAGTGGAGCGCAATCTTGGGGCTTGCTTGTGCTCGTAATAGCCACTGCTTGTTTCGGTAAGATAATTGGGACAATGCTTGTGTCAAGGATGATTTTTAAGGTGCCCTTTAGAGAAGCTGCGGCTCTTGGATTCCTAATGAACACCAAAGGCCTGGTGGAGCTCATTGTCCTCAATATTGGCAAGGATCGCAAGGCAAGTACTCATGTTCATTGCTTAGCTAGCTAGCTAGCTAGCTCTAGGCAGCATCACTCAGAATTCGTAGCGCTTGTGTCTTATGCAGGTGCTCAATGATCAGACTTTTGCCGTTTTAGTTTTAATGGCGCTGTTCACCACCTTCATCACTACGCCAATCGTGATGGCCGTGTATAAGCCTGCTAGAAAGGGAGCGCCTTACAAGAACCGTACTGTCAAACGCAAGGATCTTGACACAGAGCTTCGACTGCTGGCCTGCTTCCATAGCAGCCGCAATATTCCTACTATGATCAACCTTGTGGAGTGTTCCCGAGGAACACGGAAGCGAGGACGCCTCTGCGTGTATGCCATGCACCTCATGGAACTTTCAGAGCGATCATCTGCAATTTCAATGGTTCATAAAGCCCGCAAAAATGGACTCCCTTTTTGGAACAAGAAACGTGATGATAGAGATCAAATGGTGATTGCTTTTGAAGCTTATCAGCAACTCAGCAGTGTCACCATCCGTCCCATGACTGCCATCTCTGCTCTCAGCACTATCTACGAGGACATCTGCACCAGCGCACACCAAAAGCGTGCTGCCATGATTCTCCTCCCATTCCACAAGCACCAGAGAGTGGACGGAAGCTTGGAGTCTTTGGGGCATTCGCTGCAGGAGGTAAACCAGCGCGTCCTCCGTCATTCTCCATGTTCTGTTGGTATTCTCATTGACCGTGGCTTCGGAGGCACCACCCAAGTCTCGGCCAGTGATGTGTCCTACAAGATTGTAGTCCCCTTCTTTGGAGGTAGTGACGACATGGAAGCTCTAGCCTACGGGATGAGAATGGCAGAGCACCCTGGAATCATGCTTACGGTCCTTAAGTTGGTGCCCGCATCAGGGAAGACGCTATTCACGTTAGAAGGCCACGATACCAATGTGATCAGGGTTGAGAATGATAAAAATTATAACAGCCAGGCTGATAGCGAGATCTTCTTCTCTGAATTCGTCCAGCATGCTGCCAAACAGCTGCAAGATTCAGTGACACATGAGGAAAGAGTGGTAGAGAGTAAGGCAGACGTTGTTGCAGCATTGAAATCAATGAGCAAGAGCAATCTCTTCATGGTAGGAAGAATGCCACCCATAGCTCCTCTGTTGATCTCAACCGACACTCCAGAACTGGGTCCTGTTGGAAGCTTTTTGGCAACCTCCAACTTCTCCAATACAGCATCAGTTTTGGTGATTCAACACTATAATCCAAATGTAAATCTTCATCCGCTCGTGCAGGAAAAAGAAAACGACGACACGGATGATGGCACAGATACACCCGTTTTGGTTGACAAATATTGATACATTAATTGCATGTAGGTGTGTGTGTGTTACAGTAAAATATTGATATATTAACTTACCATTAATTAGCAATTATTCATCATTTAATTTGTTATATGACCTTCCTTTCCTAATTAAGCTTGCTAGATATGATAATGTATGAATATTAATTACGATATGATGGGTCCTCATTTCTGTAAACCAACCTCGTTTAAAAACCAGCACAAGAAAGTCACGATCTAAGATAAGATTATGTTTTTCTTGGTGTCTAATTTCATGTTGAACTATGATATGACAACATTCAATTCTAAGTTGGGTAGGATAATGTTCATACCTAGCTCTAGGTTGGGTCATGACACATCTATATCCAACTTAATATTAGGCTAGGACATGCTGACACCCAATCCTATATTGGGCTATAAGGTGTCCAAGTCCAATCCTCTATTAAGTCAGGAATGCGAACGCGCCCAACTTTACGTTAGATGTGGCATGTCCATCCTGATCATTTCCGGGTATAATCACAAGCTGAACCCAATTTCTTTTAGGTTGAGTGTGTAAATTGAACCCAACATCCCTCAGATTGATTGTGCAATTAAAGGGTCACTTTACACTGAACCTCTCATATCCTGAGTCTAGGTTAATAATTATAATACTCATTATAATCTTGTTAAATATGAATAAATAGTCTATATTTATATTAATTAAATGTGATGGTACAAGCAATAAGATAATATTGTCTTACTCATACAATATTATATTTCTACCCTTTCTATGTCATGAAACATGTCAAATCAAGTAATATAAAATAGGACAGGAATATACACAAAGAGGTTTGAAACCTTATACTCTTTGAAACAAATTCTCTACTTCTTCTTCTTTAATTATACATATTCTTCCATTGCCTCTTCTCTATTTTCATAAAAACTTATTAATACTTTTATTAATGTCATTTGCTACACAAATATAACTAGTACTAACTTGATCTTTGAAGGGTCTCTCATCAACATATCTAAAGAACTTTATGCAAGTATTTATTCAATAAGAGATACATATCCTCTAAGAAAATTCATTGAAGAAAAAGTTATTATAATCTTAAAGTGAAGGTTTACAAGAATTTCTACAAATAATTCATCTCAGAATATTTTTTGTGATTTTTGTATCGGTAATGCGGTGAAATGTGTTTTTTATTCCAAAATGATAATTATTAAACTTTGTTCAAATTTGTTTTGTCTCTTTTAACTTTTAAGTGGGTTTATAGTTTCTCAATTATTAAAGTTTTTGTAATTCACCACTGAAATTAAATCAATCCGTTAGTCCTCGCATTTAGTTTAAATTTTGCCAAAATAAATTGATATCGTTGGAGATAGGCCTCGCTTATAGAAAGAAATTTTCTAATTTTTTCATATTTGGTTATATTTTGAAAAACTAATAGACAGAAACTCACTTTTCATTAAAAAAAAAAAAAAGTAGTAGAGAAAGAAGAATGTTTGTGGTTTAAAAAAGTAGAAAGATGCCTTTCGTTTTTAGCCCACTTCAATTATAATATGTATTGACAGAGGGATTAATTTAAAACTAATAAAAATATAAATATAAAACTCCTGCAAACTATCATGGGATTAATTTAAAACTAATAAAAATATAAATATAAAACTCCTGCAAACTAGTATCATGGGATTAATTTAAAACTATAAGGATGGAGTTTTCAATTCTTTATTTTCACTTTGCTTTCCTCTCCTCTTCCAGATGACCTGTGGACCATACTCTAGCTACTAAGAAAGCATGCAAAGCCATCCTGTATATTCCTCCTTATGGATATCCTCCAAAGGAATTGAGGGCACGTGATTGTTACAAATTTATTTTTAGCACTTGGTTAATAAATTAAAAGTAAAGTCCAATTATTAGTATGATTAAAATAAATTATGAATAAATAAAAAATTATTTTAAAAAACTTTTGCTTGTATTTTTTTTAAATCCAAAACTCTCAATAGAGGTTTTCTTTGTAGCTTATATAGCGAGTAAATCCCCACGTAATATAGGACTAAAAATATTAAGACTTCGACGAGTAACCGAAACCCAAGAAAAAAAAGAATGGGTATAACCCTCATAAATAAATAAATAAATGTTGTTAAAGTTAAAAATAAAAATTTTGAATTTTAGTTTAAAATTTATAATGTCAGTGAAACTCGTAACGAGTTTTGGTGGGTAAAAGAATAAAAAAATAAAAAAATAATCTTAAGAATTTAGTGAGGTAAATAAGAATTTTGAATTTTAGCTTCAATTTATAACATTAACGAAACCGGTAATGAGTTTTGATGTGTAAAAGAACGAGAAAAATAAAGAAATATTGATCCTAAGAAATTAGTGTAGTTTAGTGTGGTAATTAATGGTAAGCTATAATAAAAGATAATACAAAGAAAAAGGGCAAGTGTGATAGTACAAATATCAATTACAAAACTAGTAACATTATGGTGAAACCGTAATAATTTCGATAAAGAAATAAAAAATAAAAAATAATTATATTTTTTAAAATGATAAAACGGCCCCAAGACTTTATAGGAATAATTGATATGATTTATGTAAGGACTAAACAAGAAAAATTAGATTTTTGTATAAAATCACTTATCGATTAGTTTTACGATATCGAGTATGGATCTCAATTTAATTGTTATATCGGGCTAAAATTTTACAAGTAGATTAATGACATGTTTTATCTTATATTCAAATTTTAGAGTAATCAGCATTTGGAAAGGCTACATGATTGGCAGTAGTCAAACAAAATAAAGAAAATATCATATAGACTTACTAATGGTAATTTCATAAATAAGTGGGAAAATGAAAAAATTTGGTTCTTCTTCTCTTTATAACTGACGGGTCTGTTAGAGAAGAAGAAAGTAAGAGGAAGAGAAAGCTTGAGTGAAGGGAGAAAATTCAAGAAAAAAAATATGAAAGTGAAGAGTGAATATGTGATTCTAACTAAAAATTCTCAAAAAAAAATGAAGAAAATAAAAGAGAGCAAGAGAGTTTGGGATTTAAAGTGAGGTTTTAGTGAGAGAAAGTGAAGAATTTAAGGAGAAAGAATATGAATGTTAAACTAGTTAATGAAATGACACTTGATTTGGGTTCAAAACATCTAGGTGAATTGTTTTATGCAAGAGTTTCATGCTTAATTATGTTTTTGGAGTAAAACATATAAATTCCTAAATTTTGAGAAAACTATGATTTATGAAATTGTTGAGATTGTGCAAAGTATATGTGTTTATTGTGATAAATAAAAATGATGATGATGAGTTTAGAAGGTGTTATTAAAGAAAAATAAAATTATGAGATACAAAGATTTTAGAGAATAGCTAGCCAAAAATAGATAAAAACAAGAGAATTATAGAAGTAAAGTGAATGTTTAGTTTTTATATATATTTAGTATATGATAGTTTGTTAATGATGATTAAAATTGAATTAAATAAATTATCAAAATTCAATTATTTTCTTGCTAGTATATTGTAAATTTGAATATATATGTACAAATGTTAAAGGATTGTATTAATGGGTTAAGATTTATAAATTGATTTAGATAAACATATTTAAGGAGAAATGAAATTTATGAACAATTAAAGATTTAATTATAAAGACCTTAATGAGATAAATGATTATGATTATGATCATGCAATTAGTTTAATTAATTAGAAGTTTTTTTATATTAATGTGTTTAGTAATAATATGTTGGAAAGATTTTGAAACTTGATGGTATGAAATGTGAATTATATTTGAAAATATATATATATATAATGGAATTTTTTAAACAATTGGTATGGAAAATGGTTAACTTATTAAATTTAATTACATGTTAGTGTTAAGAATTAACAAGACCAACAGAGAATCTAGAAAGATGGAATGAATTCTGAGTTTTGATTAAAGTTGATAAAAGTAGGTTAGGAAAGTTACTTTGATAGATGCTAATTCTAAAATGAAATGAGGTGTGGAAGAATACTTTTTCATCAGTCTAAATGGGAAGAAAATTAGATTTTCATGGCAGCCTAAATTTTGACGAAAACAAGATTTATTTCAGAACCCTATATATATCGAAGTTAAAACTTGAAAATGATAGAATTTAAAGTTGATTTCTTGAAAAAAGTTATAGATATGGATGTTATATTTCAAGTGAGATTGAAATTTATTATTTCATAGTGATATAACCCTAGATATGAGCTCAAAATCAAGGAAATGTCTAACCCAAACTAACTCTTAGATTTTTTATCTATTATAATTGTTGATTTTGAACTTGAAAGTCATGGAATTTGGAGTTAGTTTCTTTATGAAAATTGTAGATATTGATATTATATTTCAAATGAAATTATTCTTAATTAAATTAGATTAATTTAATTTTAGATATAAGTTAAACATTGAGTATAGGCCTAAACCAAACTAAATCCTACTAGACACATTTGTTGTTTGACTTCTAATTGGGTCTGGGACTTGATATTGATAAGATTTGAAACATTTTCATTATAAAAGCTATAAATAAATGTGTTAAATTTCAATTGAAATAATTTTTATTTTATTTGGAGTTATGGAACTCCAAATATGGAAGAAATACTAAAAAGGAGTTGGGTTGTATGTTGTATGATAAATTTTTGCTTATTAAGTTTTAGCTAGATTTGAGACTAGATAGTGATAAAAGTTTGGATATGTTCCTCATGAAAATTGTCCTTAAAGATGTTAGTTTTCATTAGAAAATAACCTTGCTTGATTTGGAGCTAGTTACAAAACTCCAGTTAAAGATTGAAAACCACAAACAAGTCATGTTATAACTTGATAAATATATTGTATGTATGTGTGAAATGAGTAATTTTCATTATGCTAATAGTTGAATTTGATTTCTTTTCCTTCTTAACATCGAAAAATGTGTCTTAGATTTTCAAAGGATTAAATCATACCTAAATCTAAGTTTTAAAGGTTGAGTTATGAAAGAAAAACTAAGTGATGTTCAACATATGTGAGTTATATTGATTTGAGTAAATAATAATTATTTTGCTTGAAAGGTTATCCTTGATC